ACACTCTGGATCTTGTTTGTTGTTTTCTTGATGCCCATGTGACCACCCATGATCGATTCGTCAGCTACTTCCATTATGGGGCGTCTCAACTTTCAGGTACCATGACTTGTTTAAGCGGTTTACCACCATTCACATAAGGGTGCTTGTACAGACGGTACAATACTCCACATTTTTTTTCCAATGAAATCTCTGCCTGACCCTTTACTAGCACATCGTCTCGATCCCAATACTTTCGCAGACTCTCTCATCTTCGCGCTGCATGTGCTTGAGCTTCTCTCTATCCACAATCGGACTCTTGCGGCTACCTGGCACCTTCAAGGCCATGCGTTGATCCATTTTCTTAGCTTGACTTCTCGTAGTTACTGCACAGGCCTCTTGCCAACTGGGCTGTGGATTTTGTGCGTCCCTGGCATCAGGTACGATGCCAATAATTAGGTCGTACATAGGATCTGAAAGGCACTGCGCTTCTACATGGCCCTTAAGATAAGGTGTATCAACATAAATTCTTGCTATAGGCACCTTCCTTGCTGTGTTGTCAATCAGCAACATAACGTTTAAGTCTCCGGTGAACTGATCCTCGCCGACAAGGTCCTTCTTGACTACAACACCACTTCAACCAGTATCACTTAAAACGTCGACAGTCTTCTCTCCAACTCTGCCCTTTACAACAGGCATCTTACTTCTTACTCTAGTTAAGGGTTCAACACAAGCGTTACTCAGCAACGGAAATTGCTTGGCACAGGCTTCCAGAAGCTGATCATTTTGAATACACGACTTGACTTCCTCGGGGGTAGCATTAAGATCGGGTGACTTAAGGTGACTCTACCCAGTTTTTTTTGGGGGGTACCATCCTACTTTGAAGCTCTCTGGTATCCCCACCTTTACTTTTATCGTAAGTCTAACACATAGAATGGATAACATATAGATCAATCTACAATATAACATAAAATGTTTGACGATCGGAGTAAATGTCACGTGGTTATAATGCCACGCCCCTTTGAGGTCTAAGTCGAAAATCTGCTGTTGCCGGCATTTTTTCGTGAAAATCTCTCGGGTACACATAGTGCGCATTAGTGCCTTGCGCTGAACAGAATTTCACCAAAATCGCAAAGACCCAATTCGAGAAATTCAGCGGTTTCCAAATTAAGGTCATAATTTATGCGAAAATGATAAGCAAACTTTACACGATTATATCTAATAAACTATGAGATTCATCCCTTTATTTTGGGCATCGTTGTAACAGATGGGTCCTTGCAAGTCAGCAAAACAATTTAGGGCCTTGTAAATGCGCGCGATTTTGAGCAAAGCAAACATATAGAAATTATAGTTTTCGCTATTTGTTGACGTTTGTCAGCGTTTAAGAGTCCTTCTCACGAAAAAAGCATTTTTTCATAAGTTTAATGCAAGCCAATAATTAAACCAACTCGTGACAGGAATCCCTTCTATTTTCTCATACTAAATTATCATATCTGTCTGCGAATTAATGCATAAAAGCTCGTTCTAATATTGTGCAGAGTCGCAAGGACATATGTGAGCGTTTCTGATAGGCGGGTTTCTTACCGATCTCTTACGAGCCTCACGATTGGCCTAATTCTTTCGTGTGCGTGACGGTTGGGCGCAGTGACATATCAAAATTTTCATAAGGGAGTTGGCAAGGATCGTTTACAGCAAGGGGGGAATTTCATATATCCCATAATGCTTCGCGGCTAATTCCGCGGTGGAAAGAGCGTTCGAAAGTTTCGAAGGAGATTTTCAACGACCTGAATTTCAAGATGCAGCTCATCCAAAGTAAGTTTCAATGAGCCCTGTTAATCTTTGGTATCTGATTGATAATGTTAAATGTTTCCATGGTCATTTCACGCATTATTGCTCTCGTTTACGACCCTGTTAAGCCATGCTGTTCTAACTCGCAAGTGAATATTTATTTAGATACTTTCAATTATCGAAAACTGTCTTTACCCTAGCAAGGTTTTGCCCTAACAAATTATTTAAATCGGCGGACAAGGAGTGCTTGACACTAGTTCCACACTCCGATCTCTTTCGACCTCGCGATTTTTATGGGTTTGATCGTTTTGAAATATCGCATTTTCTGGCCTTTCTCCGCAAAGATGCAAGACGAAGGTTTCAATTTCTTTATACTAAGTCCTGCGAAGATGGGACATTTCTTCTTGAATTCCCTCTCTTTTCGCTGATCAAAATACATATATTATCTCTTGAGGGTATGATGAATGTTTAAATTCAATGGTTTATAGTATTAAAGCTTTTTGTCTCATTATTTTAGGTAAAATTGGTTTCTCATGGTGGCTTCCGGTGGCAACTGCGCGTGGCGAACTTGAAATACAGAGGCCAGAAAATGTCATGGAATAGCATGCCATAGGACCTCAACCGGCGTATAAAACCTTTAAAGACATTTTGATAATTCTTTTAGGATCCATTGTAGCGAAGAAGTGGGTGTTTTTGTATATGTATTTTGCCATTTCCTGAAAAATTATAAAGCTTTTTTCTGTTTATGTTTGACAATGATGGTTCAATGATGGTTACGAAAAATATAGAGATGTTTTTTTTAGTTTTATTGTTTCTTGGAGTTATTCCCCTCCTTTGAATTTTACCTCCGACAGACCGAGCTTGTTGAAGTAAAAGCCTGTGCGTTCACCGTACAGTTGACGTACTGCATCGATGAATTATTGAACTGGCGATATGAGCACCGTACCGCGATCATAAACAAGCAACGAAGAGAAATCTCACACTTAGAATATGTATTTATTTCAAGACAAGTACGTGGAAATCGCTTATAAATCCATGGAGAGCTTTGTCAAAGCACGTTAAAACAGGACGTTCTGAAGCAAAGACCTTCCTCGCTAGTTTCTAAGAACATTTGCGTGGACTGCCTTGCTATCGTAAGGCTAGTTAACTCATAGTCGGCGGCCAAAACCCTCTCTTTGACTTAACAAGAGATACATTTGGAATCGTAAATAGATCGACACAGCGAAGGTACAGAAAGTTTTATCGGCAAAACTGAGTCGCTTTCCACCGTTGCTCAACTGTCATAGCCTGCAACCCCTTTCAACGCCTACTACTATACGCAGGCTAAACTGTCACGTCCCTGTTGAACTGATAGGATCACGTGCCTTCGGAAGCTTGATAATATAGTATGAAGCGATGTATCATGGGATATATGAAATTCCCCCCTTTCGTTTACAGTAAACAATGAAAGAGCAGTTCGAACTTTAAAGCCGTCTTCTGTACAAAAAAAAGGTTTAAAGTTAAGAACTTCAAGGCCAAAATTTGCTTGTAAATTTGCCGGCTGGTTTTCCAACGTCTTCCAATCGCTGCAGATGCACTACCGCGTATTCTGCAATCTAGCAGACAGTTGTAGAGTCAAAACAAATCTGGAAATCATGACATTCACGATAAAAAAAAAAACTACACATATGTAGCCATTCAGGTCCATACATTTCGTTGAAAACCAAAGAAACTAAGGTAATTAGCCGCAATAAAAAAGCTTAAGGCTTAAACGGAGGTAAAAGAAAATCATTTATGCATCTGTGATCAAATCCTCTCAGAAAGCATTTGCCAAAAAATAAACCACAGGAACTAATTACTCAAAATGCATGTAGCAGACCAGCTTCAGACTATAAATCTAGATAAATCTAAATCTCTAAATGTAGCTAAATGTGAGACTGAAAGCGGCAAAAAAAAAAATTTGCTCAGTCAAATTGTAGAATACTCCATGCACTGTATAAATTACGCAAAAAGAGAGCAAAAAAAACATCTGTTGTTCAAGCTACTCTAAGGTCACGTTTCACACTATCATGAGCTTAGTCTCTCTTGTCACGAGCTATGAGTCATGTTTGGCCTGTCAACACTCAATTCAAATCGGACTAATCACAAACTGTGTAAGGAACTAGCCAATCAATAACGCCGACACATGTCCTTGCGACTCTACGGCATTCGAACACGATATTGTGCACTAATTCGCAGACGCTCTATATAGAAGGTTTAGGCTATACACAAGGTTCATGTACGACATATCGGGGACTCACACAGATTTTTTTCATTGTCCCGCGCTCGTGACATGATGATCACATCTTTTCGCAAGACAACAAAGCTTTGAGGCTACAGCAGTTTTGGGCCCTTAAAACGGACGGCATTTTGTTTTATACGTACTAAGATTATGCTATACTTACTGAAAAGCTACGCTTTAAATGAATTCTAGCTAGTCAGAGGATCGAATAAGGTTTTTTACACGTGAAAACAAATATTACGTGCAATCAAAAGCCACAGTGGGGAGTGGGGCCCCAGGGAGACGCTTGTGTAGTGTTTTGCATACACATATGGCAATGAAACTATCTAATATTAGTATTCACCAAATCAGTGGATAACAATTTTCGGGCGTTCTGATTGGCTTCCGTAACTCTGAATATCCTTGGATATTCACTGTTTTTGGAAGGCTTTGAAAGATGAAATTTTAGCGGTAAATGAAGCACCTGTACCAACAAATACCAAGAAAGAGACAAAATTTGGCTTGTCGGTGTTTACTGGTTGCCAGAAAAAAATTCTTACTGAGTTTGCAACAAAATCATAAAAAAATGATCCCCGAAACACTGTCAATAGAAACGTAACCAAACTCTAACAAAGTGACGTGTTTTATTTACAAAAAGTTCCTTTTTGATTATTATCCAACAGATTTGGTAAATACTAAAACAATTATCCCCCTCAGGGTAAGTTCAAAGCGCTAGATATGTGACCACGATATATCCACCACTATTCACCTCTCCCTCAGGGGATAGCTGTATATTATTTTTGGCTGAATGTATTGATAATTAATGGTCTAGAGCCCACGCTTGGAACGACCAGCTCTAGCTGCGACCACTTTATGAATTCTTAAGCTTTTCGTTTGCAAGAGTTTTGACTGTAGGTGTTTCATTGTTGACAATAGCAGATGTTGTCCTTAATTAAATCGACTAATGCTGGTGAAGGGTTAGAGAAATGTTCTATATTTAAATAGTTGTTCCTGATGTATTTTCCTGCAAAGAGTCATAGGCGTTGCTTTTTCTCGATCGTCTGCGCCGCCTGCAATAAAAGGTGAATACCCCCAGTGATACCAAAGCAATTAATCCTGATAAGCTCGCAACCAATATGACTGTCCTCCACTCAGGGCTTTTATCTTGCGGTATGGTTGCACCAGAAAGAGAAACTGAAATAAGAAAACGACGCATTTTTAACGTAGTACACCACACGGGATTATTCCCAATTCTGTGATAAGACTAATTTGAGATAGATAGGAACCCTGTCAATACCACTACCGCTCGACAATGTATAAAATTGGTCGTACTAATGAGTTGGTCGAGTTGTCTACATAGTGTCCCACTAAACTTTAGAAGTGTTAACTAGTATAATTAAATTTTGACTATCAATTCGTCGGATAAGCTTGGTTAGGTACATCATATATGATTATAATTACAGTTTACCCTGCATCGTGTTCTGATTGCTTTACTTGCATGAGGTGCTTTACTTGTATGAGGTGCTTTACTCGCTCTAGGAGCTTTGCCTCCTTTAGGAGCTTTGCGTAAACTTTTATCTGAAGTGCTTTAATTCTTAGTTTGCTAACATGCTTCAGGTGCTTTACTTGCATGAGACTTTTTGCTTGCATGAAGGTGTTTTACTTGCTTTAGATGCTTTACTTTCATGTACTTGTTTCTTGTGTTGTTTACTTGCGTGAGGTGCTTTACTTGCTTGATGCGCTTTATATACTTGCTTCAGGTGCTTTACTTGTATCAGGTGCTTTGCTTGCATGAGACGTTACTGCTGGCATGAGACGTTTTACTTGTATTAGGTGCTTTACATCCACGAGATGCTTTATTTACATGAGATGCTTTGTTTGTTCGGGATGCTTTGATTACATAAGGTGCTTTACTTGCATTAGGTGCTTTGCTTGCGTAAGATGCTTTACTTGCTTCAGGTGCTTTACATGCATGACATTTTTTGTTTGCTTGAGATGCTATACTTGCTTGTGTTACTTTTCCTGCGTGAGGTGCTTTACTTACTGGAGGCGCTTTGCTTGCATGAGACGCTTTACTTGCAAGAGATGCTTTTAACTTGCTTAAATTACAATTGAGGTTGCTTGAGGTGCTTTACTTGGATGAAGTGCCCATGCAACAAAAACACAGTACACCTCAAGCAAGCAGGTGCTGTCACGCGACTGAAATTGAACATTAAACTGTACGTAATTTGAGTTGAAACCCACAATTCTGAATCACCTTGCGCGCAAGTTCTATTGCATATTTTGAGAAAAATGGCTCTTAATCTTTAACTAAAACATGTTTTTAGGTCTAGCCTAAGTGTGATATTGGAGAATTTTATGAAGTTTGGGAGGGATTTTTTGTGCAGATGGCTTACTGAATTAGTAATAACAAAGGCGACCCGTTTCTTCCGATTACAAAGAGATAATACCTTAATGGTATTGGAACAGTAAGAAGAAGTAATATACATAAAAATGAGTGCAGATGGTTAAGGTATTGATGGTCCGGAGTGTTACCAGTATAAAAGTGCTTAAAATTTGTTTCTGTTCTGGGAATGGCAGTAACATATAAAATTCCTCGTTCTGATTGCAATTTCTTGGGTGTTAATTCTTTCGTTTTGCCAAAACTGTTGTAGGTTGGCGATTTTGTCGCGGTGTGGGCATTGTTCAGTGTCTTTTTGGAAACTACCAATTTCTTTTAATTATAGGGATTGATAGTATAGTATTGATGATAAAGCTGTGCTATTTTTGACGAATTAGCCCGCGAAGAAGGCGGAAATATATATTTGGACGGCACGATATAAAACAGGGTCTGGGTGCTAGGCCAGTGGCACCACGGGTATCCATACCAAGCCATACGGGGGTATGTAAGGCTGCGTATATCACGTGTTCGTCATTTAGGCTTCTGAACCAACCTTTCTTTGGTTTCTTAATCTTTTGTTTCATTTTAGGCGCCGGGCATATTCTCGATTACCTTGTAAAGTACCGTAGGAAGGACTCTGGGCTTAAGCCTTGTTTCATTCCCAGATTTCCTGCCCGCATTTTCTCCGTTAGGGCTTTTTCTGGCCTTTGTCTGACCGAATTTATTTAAGTTGTAAGCGGTAGCTCAGCTCTTCTAGTTTCCAGCACTTTCTCCGTTTCTTATCTTATGTATTTGTACGGTTATTACAGTTTTGTACCTGTTTCTTAACTTATTTATGTAGTTTCTATGTACGCTGCGGTCAGCTACCCCGGAACTGCTCCTTAGGTGGCCACATAAGTCAAGATTGACGCCATTAGATTGGCAATTTTGCAGACCTTTAGCCAGGATCGTTGGCCATCTGATGAACCTAGGTGTTGTGCCCTAGCCTTTTCTGGCAGCCTCATTGGCCTACGTGCCTCCAGTTGTTGGGTACATTAGTGAAGATGAGCCCGTTATATTAAAGATAGATTCCCAGTTCTTCTGACCCTCAGCGTCTGTGCTCTTATAGTGTTCCCTCTCCCAGTCATCTATTTCCCCCATTCTTACTGGTGGCCTAACTAGCACAGGGCCTGTTTGCTTAATTGGGGGTACAGGTCGAGATTGACCGGTCGTAGCAGTTCTTTGTGAAAGCAAAAATACGAGTGTCGTACATTAGCTATTTTTCTTATTGCTGTGTTAACGTATACACGTATACACGTCCTCAAACAAAATACGCTCAAAATATTATTCCCCACACAGCTTTGCGCAGTTTATTGACAGCAAACAGTTGCAATCAAAAATCTCCTTTTTACATACAAATATACGTAGCTTAAAGAAAAATTTTGAAGAATTTCAACATCATGTTTTAAGTGAAATGAATTTCCGTTTTACTATTATTGGTGTAACAGAAACTCGTATATGCGATCGTGAATGTAGTTTTAATTTTGTACCAGAATTACCAGGATACTGTTTTGAATCGGTCCCAACACCTTTATCTGCCGGTGGTGTTGGCCTGTTCATTGATCAAAATTGTAAATACCGCGTCCTTGAACGAGTCTCCAATTCTTGCTATCAAGCCCTATGGATTGAACTTCATCTGCCTAACAATAAGAAATCTGTATGTGGTGTTACTTATAGGCAACACAATAACGCTAATGAGTTTCTAGAATACTTGACAGATTTTCTTGAACGGCAATGCCGTCAAAAACAAAATATTTTTCTCATGGGAGACTTCAACATAGATCTGTTAAAATATGAAACTTGTAGTTACACACAAACCTTGCTCCAAACAATGCAAAGTTTTTCAATGTTCCCAGTGGTTGATAAGCCGACTAGAGTCTATGGTAATTCAGCAACTTTAATTGACAATATTTTCATAAATAATCCAGAGAATAATATGGTCAGCGGCAATATCGTGTCCGATACAACAGATCACTTCTCTCAGATGTGCATATTAACGTCGCACTGTAAACCATTCTTTCCAAACAACAAAACTAAGGTTCGTGACTACTCTACCTTCAATGCAAAGTCTTTCATTGACGACTTGCAGAATATTAATTGGAATAATATTTGCAAACATATCGATGCTAATCAATCGTTCTCCAGGTTTTACAAATGCGTCAACAAGACAATTAACAAACACGCTCCTTTAAGAAGTATATCCAATCGTAAACAAAAATTCCTTGCTAAACCATGGCTGACTGCGGGTTTAAGAAAATCAATCAGGGTAAAGAATAACCTCTTCTATACCTCAGACCGTGACAAATACAAATTATACAGAAATAAAATCATTTATCTTACGAGATTAAGTAAAGCGAACTACTACCAAAGTTTCTTTGATCTCAACATATGTAATATGCGTCAAACTTGGAAAGGAATTAACGAGCTAATTGGAAACTGTAAAAAGAAAAACAAGCGCAACTCAACTAACTCTATTCGCTCAAACCCGAATGAGGTTCCAACTAGTGACCCGAAGGAAATAAGCAATATTCTTAACAAATATTTCGCCACTGTTGGGAGCAAACTGGCTTCTAAAATTCCTCAGACCATAAATACATTCTATGATTATTTAGATCCGCCACTTAATCGCACTTTCTTCTTTGATCCTATTATTCCGGAAGATATCAATTTAGAAATTTCAGTTTTGCAAGACAACAAGGCCCATGGTCTTTACTCATCTCCAGTTAGGCTGCTGAAATTGGCAAAAAGGGTCATATCCGTACCTCTAGCCACGATTTTTAATCAGTCTATTTGCTCAGGGATTTTTCCATCTAAACTAAAGTGTGCTAAGATTATCCCGATATTTAAGGACGAAGATGACACGCTGCCCGAAAACTACCGACCTATTTCTCTGCTCTCGATTTATAACAGGATTTTTGAAAAACTTATGTACTCCAGAGTTACCAAGTTTGTCAAAGATTGCAACATTCTCTATGATCAGCAATACGGTTTTCGCAGTAAGCACAGTACTCAGCATGCTGTACTTGATATTGTTAACACAATTCTCCAAAACATGGACAACGGTAAATTTTCGTGCGGTGTTTTCATCGATCTCAAAAAGGCTTTTGATACTGTTAACCATGAAATTTTGTTAGCTAAACTTGAAAATTATGGTATTAGAGGTGTAATCAACTCCTGGTTCAGATCATACCTGACTGATCGGAAGCAAACTACGGAAGTTAATAATGTTGTGTCTGAGGCTGAAACGACCTTGTGCGGCGTGCCACAAGGCTCAGTCCTCGGACCACTCTTATTCCTACTGTACATCAATGATATTTACAAGTCCTCTTCGTTATTTGCCTTTTATCTATTTGCTGACGATACTAGTATAATACTTGCAAATAACAACCTAAAGGAACTCGAAACACTTGTTAATCGCGAGCTTGGCAACGTCAACGAATGGCTAAAGGCCAACAAACTGTCCTTGAACATAAAAAAATCAAATTTTGTAATCTTTCGTCCCCGGCAAAAGAATATGCCCTTCATACCTAGGATTAGAATTTTTGACTCCGTGACTAACACCTACGCAAACCTTGAAATGAAAGATTATGTAAAATATCTTGGCTTAATGATTGATTCAAATCTTTCATGGAAATACCACATCGAATCTATCTGTCACAAAATCAGCAAGTCGATAGGAATTATAGCTAAAATTCGACATTATGTCCCGCGTCGTGTTTTACTTTCAGTTTACAACTCATTAATTGTCCCTTACTTGACTTATGGTATTTGTGGTTGGGGAAATTGTGCCTTGACATTTCAAAGAAAGATCGTAACTCTACAAAAACGGGCCTTACGTCTCATTTACTTCAGTAAGTCTAAGGAACACGCCGTACCCTTCTTTCTCAAATCAAATTGCCTTCCCCTGTCTAGCATATTTTTCAGAGATTGTAGCTATTTATTGTATGATATCAACAGACAGATAGCACCAGTTAGTATTCTCAATCAGTTCGTTAAAACAAGTCAGATTCATAACTACAGAACAAGATCTGTCTCTAGCGACTCGTTTTATGTTAAGTTCTCTAGAACCGATAAAATGTATGCCTTTTTCACGAGAATCGGTGCCCAAATTTGGAACTCTATTCCGTATTCGATTAAAATACTTAAACGTTCGTCCTTTCGTAAAAAAATAAAGGAATTATTACTAAATTTTTTGCGGTCAGAAGATGATTATGTCGAAGTCTCCCGTCTTATTAAGTTATTTAATACTTTAGGTTAGCCTCTCTTCGTAATCGTTATGTACATGCCTTGTTTTATGTTAGTTTAAATTCTATTTACTGTATTGTAGTGTCTTCACTGTTATTTAGTCCATCTATATATAAATCTTGTTTTGTAAATTGTGTTCAGCTCCCCCCGCCTCGATTAGTTCATAAGCTATTTGCGGGTGGGAAAGTAATGTAATTAGTTATTTTCCAATTTTCAATAAAATTTGTTGTTTGTTGTTGTTGTTACGTACATTGCAGAGTTGGTTCTCACAAATCCCTACCTAAATAGACTTATATCCTTTTATATTATGTCTTTTGCTGTTGTCTAGTGGAGTCAAAATAAAACTCAAAAGTGTTGTCGAGTCTGAAATCCAGTGGAATGCTTTTAGTTTTCGGGACATAGCCTCTAAAACAATTAAAAAGTGTAATAATTGACACCTCATTAATTAGTTAATTTTCTGAAAGTTTAGCCGTTGCTGAATAGATATGTGTGATTTTCATTACAAGAAGTACTGTAATATAGATAATATTAATTTTTAAAATGGGTACGTTTACAGCAGTTTTACTTTCTTCATGGCGTTTTGAAAAAGTCAAGGAAAAACCTGACGAAGACACCTCAGGAGCCGGTCACACCTGCTCCCCCCAGCCCCTCCCTCATAAGTCCCATGTTCATGTCTATCAGGACGTTTATATGTTAATGCCCAGTGTAGATATTTCAGATGGTCCTCACTAATGCGCTGATGATAAAAAACCAAGTGTGAACTGTAAATATAGTGACTAATTTGTTAAACTCGACTGTATAGCTAAAAAGAGCAGATTAAAATAGAATATATTAGTGCCTTCCACGGGTACAAGCTATACAACTCATGTCACCAGCTCTCCTCACCTGTTGCTACTGTTGGTTTCTCTTTATCCTCGACTCTAACAAAAATCTTCATGCTGTCCTCCCCAGCAGTACTTTTAGCTTTGCATAGGTACAGTCCACTGTCATTTTTGTTCACTCGTCCTAACAGTATAGAGTGGTTTCTCACAACCCTTCCAAATCGTTCCCACGTGACCTGCGGACGCGGAAGTCCAGTGGCCTTGCAGTTCAACGATAGTTCGTCTCCATTCCTCAAATAAATATTCCTTTGCAGAGGTGTGACAATTTTGGGTGGGTCTGTTAGTTAGAAACGTGTAATCAGTGCAAACATATTTGGCCAAGAAGAAAAAGCCACCTCAAATTTTCAAAAAAGCAGCGATTCAAAATTAAACAGATTGGCACGGTCATCTTCATTTCAGAAAGTCCAAAAGTGTATCAAAATGGGAGTCACCGTATTCGATTTTAAAATCATCTTTTTACCATCTAAAAGATCACTTTTGCCTGTTAAAACCTCGAAGAATAAGAATATAGCCTCGCACAACTGATAAAATGATTTGCTTATTATAATTATTAGGGATAACTAATCGCCCTGCATGTCAATCCCAGAAGCCAAAGTCGAGCCTAAAAACAGCCGACCTACTGCCTTTCGGGTATACCATGCACAAATTAAATAAAAATCTAGAGAAATAGGACAAGTTTTAACAGCGCTAGCTGAAACTACTATTAAAAAGCAGTGTATGTGTTTCAATGCTGTAATACTATTAATAATATTACCCTCCAAGAGAAGCGTAACAACGTCAATTAAGGGCTTCCGCGCCAAACCAAGCTCAATGTGAAGACCGTATTCGTTCTCGTCACCCGTGCCTAAATCATGAACCGTGAATGCCACTTGCAGAAGAGACGTGTTGAATGTGCAGCTTATTTTTCTCTCGTGGTTTTGTCGAATCATTACTTCCCCATTTCTACCGATAACTATGAGTTTTGTCTTCAGATATCCTGGTGGTTTCCAAAACCCGAAAGCCACATGTTCCACGCTCTCGATCCAGGTCCTCCCGGGAAAGAGTTTGAAAGTCCAGTTAAATGTTAAGTTTCCTTGCTTTTTTCCAATCATGGGATGACTTGGTCCTGAAATAATCCTTGGACGCTGTCCTTGATGTGAAGCTGAAAGAGTGATTCACTTGTTTCATTCATTTGAAAATTGACCTCGCATCAGGCTGAATTGTCATGTATTTAAAAAGGTTGTGTTCCTCTGGCGAAAACTGGCGGCTTTGGCGCCTCGGGCGTGGGCCGGCAAATCCAGGCTTGTAGACAGCGATAATATAATCTCTTATTTTAACTCAAATCAGATCTCGGAAGACGGGGGAAGTGATCGTTTTTAACTTCAAAACGTGATCTTAGTGCAATCCACCAAACCTCTTGACTTTCTCTAAAAGTTCTATTTCGTATGGTCTGAAACAAAGAGTGCGACCATTGCTTTTTTCTCTTGCCCTCATTTTTTTTTTCAAGTGACGTAAACACCTTCTGGCGTGTTCCAAACTCTGCAAGTTTTATTATCATAACGTGGACGTTTTATCACCATAGCCAGGAGCCGTTCAAGAGATGACAGGCGGATTGCAGGATCTCCGAGAAAATAGAAAATATGGGTCAACTATTAATCTACTCTCTTTTGCTTTTCTTTGACGAGTATATACTAAAGCAGCTATTTGAGCAAATAAGGATAAAACGTACAGTCAAGTCAGGTCAAGCGTACCCCGCAAGAGCCATTAATGAATTTATTATTCGAAAGTTGAATCCGTTGGTAGTTGTAGATTTCAGATTCATCTCTGCATTCTTAGATGCGCAATGAGCCGTGAATTCACACGTGAAGCAGTTATAAAATTTCCAGCAACGTTGGAGCGAAGTAAAAAGTGGGAGGCTGAAAATAAAATTGGACATTCCATTTCCACCTCTCCCCCCGTCCCCCTCAATAGGCAATAAAAGGCTGCCTCTGTCTTTTTTTAAGACGTCAACAACATTTTGGAGGGTCTGGATGGGGTTAACTGACAAATGCCCAAAATTTTAACTGAAAACTGACATTTGTATCCCCCGGAGTAATCTTCAATGGTGCCGACAACAAAAACTACGTAAGATTGCCTTCCATAGGGGGTGGGGTTGGGGGTGGGGGAGCGAGTGCGGATGAAAAAAAGGAAATGTCCCAATCCAACGGGTCCGACGTACGTTGTTTCTTGGCGACGTTTACTTGAACTTCTCAAAATACCCGTTCCTTTGTCGTTTGCGCTTGCGAACGTCTTCCCGATCGCAACGGGGTACATTCTGTCAGCCAATGTCTTGTGACAGTGAACAAGTATGTAGCTTCATCGTGCTCGTAGAGCTTCGTAGCGTATGTTTTGAGGCGTCTCAGAGCGGAAAAAGTTCGCTCCGATGTAGAGACTCATGTTTTTTTAAAAATGGAAGTTGGTCACGCATACGGCAAAATAAAATGGAGGACTGACCCAACTGATTCATTGGAAACCCATTCAATGAAAGTTTTGTATAAAACTAGTCCTAATGAGTCGACCGTGGTAAAATGTAAGAAAGTTATTTATTACTCTACAAAGTGTGTGTGTGTGTGTGTGGGGGGGGGGGGGATATGTCCCCCCCCCCCGTTTCCGCCGCCTATGATTGCTACCAGCTTTGATGTAAATGCCCTCGAAGCAATTTTATCCATTCAAAGATTTTCAATCTGACCAAATACAGAGACTCGGCGTTGCCGATTTGAATTTGACACTAGTTACGGGAACGACTAACGGTTCATTTTTAAAATAATCAATTCATTAATAGAATCTTGTGGGGTAAGCTTGACCTGCCTTGACTGTAAGGTTTCCGAGAAACCCGCAAATCACAACACAACAGGAAAGGGAGGAAGTGAAGGATGACAAGAGAGAAAATCGGTGGTGCACCCTTTGTTTTTATGGCTACTTTGGACAAGACGAGAGCCTTGAGCAGACTTTAGTGCAGACACTTTTTTGCTGGCAAATCCAGACAGATAGTTCGCCCTAACTGGCCCACAAAGCTCCGAAACCTCTGACAGTTCAGTATTCCTGTTGCAGATTTCCGCGTCCAGGATTCCTTACCTTCTTGGTAATTAAAATTCACTTAAATTGATTAATATTAGAGACTTTCTCGGAAAACGGGAAGGATAAACAAAGCATATAATGTTAAAAAGTTGAAAAGAAAAGGACAGAGACCCGTAAGTTTCGATATTTACGCGATCGATAGATAGTAATCAAGATGTGGATCAAATGAAGTGTTCAGAAAGGTTTGAACACTGCTTGGAAAGGTTTTGTGAGACATATCTTTGAATAAACACAACGAACAAAAATGTCATCTGGCAAAAACTTGTCTGCGGGCTCCCTGTGTTTCCACTTCAGTTCTCTTTCTTCCGTTACGACACTTTTCGATGTTACTTTGCAGCTGCTTTTTGCCTCCAAATCTTCCCCCTTTCTCAGCAGTAAATGCTTAGGCAAAATACATATGCATCGAATCAAATGATTATTAAATTTGAGTTTATGGAATAAACTAAGACCTGAATCGAAACTTGTATAATATGTACTTTCACTTTCGGCTTCCGTTTAAAGTGATTACTTAATACACTTACCCCCTAAAAGAAATGAGAATTTCAGTCAGAATTCTCTGTTATTTTAAAAATAAAAGACAAGCACCTTGACTTTTCTGCTCGGTTGTTTCATTCGCCATGTAAACCAAATAATATAAATGCGATTCACCCTGGCGACTCAATAAGATGGGAAATTAGAGACACGAGTACGATGGAACTATGAAACTGTAAGTCTTTTTCTACTTACCTATAACGCCCGGAATCACAATGATGTAAACCAAAAGCATCGTAGATAATTTTATGGAAATAAGAGAAACCTGCCGTTTTTTATGACTGTTTGTTTCGACGATGAACTGAACCTAACCCTAGCAAAAAACATTTACGGAGAGTGAACATTGATTGCGTCTTCTCAACGTGTTTGACGCTGTGTTCCAACGTTTCCGAGAAGAGCATTGTTCGGGAGCCGTATTTACAATAGGACTGACCAATCAACACATGAACTAGGTAACCAATGGTATCAAAAGGATTTTCTTTAGTGACAGCTGCTATTTACAACGGTGCTACAACCACACGCTAGCGCTCGTAAAATGGCTTATTCTGCCTGCCGGCAGTGCTTGTAAAAATCGATTATTCTGCTCAAAATTCTGCTCCGACACCCTTATTCTTATTATTCTGCTCGGTATCCAAAAAAATTTTTGGCCCCTCGGGCCGTGTCAGGAGCCCATCAATTTGATGGGCTCCTGCCCTTATTTATTTTCGTAATTATTGAAGGGAGCCTGGGCCTAACCCTTAAAAGCTGATTAATTACATATGCATTATGAGTAGCAAAATTGCAATTTAACTTACTTTGAATGCGTTGTAGCTCAGATTAAATAATCAAATTAATCACAAGTTATTTTCCATGTTTTTTATTTAGTTTTGAATTTTTCTCACAACTGTTATGCATATCATTCAGTGCCGCTGATTTTCCGTTATTTAGTCTTCGTAGCAAGCGCTTCCAATCGAGTTATTGCGCGAAAGTTGGGGAAGGAGCGAAAATAAATGGAGGGGAAAGAAGGGGGATAAGAGGAAACAGCGTTCTTTCTGTTGACATGCATAGTGCTGTGTTTTGATTTGTTTCATTTCCTTAGTTCGTTTGGATCATGGAAGGATGGTCTGCATCCGCCGACCTATAGCTATAGCTTTCTGCAATGGTTGCTAGTATACCAAAAATAAAAGACTAAAACGAAATTTCTATACATAAAAAATGACAAAACAGAAATTGAGCTGTATTGAGCTGTTTTTGCCTCAATTGTACGTGTTCAAACGACTCCAGAAGGGGCTGAATCAGACTTTGGCCTACACGGCTGAATTGGCACTTTGGGGCTGAAACAGATCTTTTTACTTTTCATTGCATATTACCTCTACTTTAATGCTATTTTCTTTTTAGTATTACGCAATTTTTGAAACTACTGGAACTGTATTTAAAAAGCGTATTTCGGTTTGCGCTATAACTGATGGAGTTCTTAAAGACTTAAGACTGCAGTCAGATTTTTCCAGGTTTGGATCGACTGATGGGAATCTTGAGAGACCTTCCTGGTGTCATGTATCTTTGTTTGCTCGTTGCACCGCAAAACTCTGTATCCTCCTTATATCCTCCTAAACTTTGCAAAAATTTGTTACTTAACCTGGGTATTGATTCCGTAGCAAGAAAAGCTGAGGGTGCTGTAGCCTTTTGTGAGTGTAATGCAGCGTAAATGACTAAAATTTAATCGCAGACGATTAGGCATTCCCCCCTAATGCAATTGACAGTCAGGGGCATTTAAGGATTTTATCGACATATCAAGACCTTGAACTGACTGGAAACTGTTGTTATACAATTAAAAGGCTAGAGATCTTCGAAAAACAGTAATCGCCGCTTATTTGTTTTTAAAAAATGGCGGTTGTGTCAGACAGCGGAAAAAAAAAAGGGAGGATGGCCCAACTGTTTTCTTGGGAACCCTTTTAAAAAAAGGTTTTTAAAAAAATAGGCCACAAAAAGGGGACGGGGTAAAATGTAAAAGATGTTTTTTTTACTAGTTAAAATGGTTGGGGGGTGTGGGGGGGGGGGGGGGGATATGTCCCCCCCCCCCGTTTCCGCCGCCTATGATTGCTACCAGCTTTGATGTAAATGCCCTCGAAGCAATTTTATCCATTCAAAGATTTTCAATCTGACCAAATACAGAGACTCGGCGTTGCCGATTTGAATTTGACACTAGTTACGGGAACGACTAACGGTTCATTTTTAAAATAATCAATTCATTAATAGAATCTTGTGGGGTAAGCTTGACCTGCCTTGACTGTAAGGTTTCCGAGAAACCCGCAAATCACAACACAACAGGAAAGGGAGGAAGTGAAGGATGACAAGAGAGAAAATCGGTGGTGCACCCTTTGTTTTTATGGCTACTTTGGACAAGACGAGAGCCTTGAGCAGACTTTAGTGCAGACACTTTTTTGCTGGCAAATCCAGACAGATAGTTCGCCCTAACTGGCCCACAAAGCTCCGAAACCTCTGACAGTTCAGTATTCCTGTTGCAGATTTCCGCGTCCAGGATTCCTTACCTTCTTGGTAATTAAAATTCACTTAAATTGATTAATATTAGAGACTTTCTCGGAAAACGGGAAGGATAAACAAAGCATATAATGTTAAAAAGTTGAAAAGAAAAGGACAGAGACCCGTAAGTTTCGATATTTACGCGATCGATAGATAGTAATCAAGATGTGGATCAAATGAAGTGTTCAGAAAGGTTTGAACACTGCTTGGAAAGGTTTTGTGAGACATATCTTTGAATAAACACAACGAACAAAAATGTCATCTGGCAAAAACTTGTCTGCGGGCTCCCTGTGTTTCCACTTCAGTTCTCTTTCTTCCGTTACGACACTTTTCGATGTTACTTTGCAGCTGCTTTTTGCCTCCAAATCTTCCCCCTTTCTCAGCAGTAAATGCTTAGGCAAAATACATATGCATCGAATCAAATGATTATTAAATTTGAGTTTATGGAATAAACTAAGACCTGAATCGAAACTTGTATAATATGTACTTTCACTTTCGGCTTCCGTTTAAAGTGATTACTTAATACACTTACCCCCTAAAAGAAATGAGAATTTCAGTCAGAATTCTCTGTTATTTTAAAAATAAAAGACAAGCACCTTGACTTTTCTGCTCGGTTGTTTCATTCGCCATGTAAACCAAATAATATAAATGCGATTCACCCTGGCGACTCAATAAGATGGGAAATTAGAGACACGAGTACGATGGAACTATGAAACTGTAAGTCTTTTTCTACTTACCTATAACGCCCGGAATCACAATGATGTAAACCAAAAGCATCGTAGATAATTTTATGGAAATAAGAGAAACCTGCCGTTTTTTATGACTGTTTGTTTCGACGATGAACTGAACCTAACCCTAGCAAAAAACATTTACGGAGAGTGAACATTGATTGCGTCTTCTCAACGTGTTTGACGCTGTGTTCCAACGTTTCCGAGAAGAGCATTGTTCGGGAGCCGTATTTACAATAGGACTGACCAATCAACACATGAACTAGGTAACCAATGGTATCAAAAGGATTTTCTTTAGTGACAGCTGCTATTTACAACGGTGCTACAACCACACGCTAGCGCTCGTAAAATGGCTTATTCTGCCTGCCGGCAGTGCTTGTAAAAATCGATTATTCTGCTCAAAATTCTGCTCCGACACCCTTATTCTTATTATTCTGCTCGGTATCCAAAAAAATTTTTGGCCCCTCGGGCCGTGTCAGGAGCCCATCAATTTGATGGGCTCCTGCCCTTATTTATTTTCGTAATTATTGAAGGGAGCCTGGGCCTAACCCTTAAAAGCTGATTAATTACATATGCATTATGAGTAGCAAAATTGCAATTTAACTTACTTTGAATGCGTTGTAGCTCAGATTAAATAATCAAATTAATCACAAGTTATTTTCCATGTTTTTTATTTAGTTTTGAATTTTTCTCACAACTGTTATGCATATCATTCAGTGCCGCTGATTTTCCGTTATTTAGTCTTCGTAGCAAGCGCTTCCAATCGAGTTATTGCGCGAAAGTTGGGGAAGGAGCGAAAATAAATGGAGGGGAAAGAAGGGGGATAAGAGGAAACAGCGTTCTTTCTGTTGACATGCATAGTGCTGTGTTTTGATTTGTTTCATTTCCTTAGTTCGTTTGGATCATGGAAGGATGGTCTGCATCCGCCGACCTATAGCTATAGCTTTCTGCAATGGTTGCTAGTATACCAAAAATAAAAGACTAAAACGAAATTTCTATACATAAAAAATGACAAAACAGAAATTGAGCTGTATTGAGCTGTTTTTGCCTCAATTGTACGTGTTCAAACGACTCCAGAAGGGGCTGAATCAGACTTTGGCCTACACGGCTGAATTGGCACTTTGGGGCTGAAACAGATCTTTTTACTTTTCATTGCATATTACCTCTACTTTAATGCTATTTTCTTTTTAGTATTACGCAATTTTTGAAACTACTGGAACTGTATTTAAAAAGCGT